TAGCTCCTTTCAAGTTAGCTATATTAGCTATAGCATCACTGCCATTTCCTCTGACATATCCTCTACCAGTGTTATCCTTTTCTACTGCTTCTGCCCATTAGATGCCTGGCACTTTAGTATGGTTCTTCAGCAAAAGCTGGTCTGATGTGGGAGAACCTATCAGCAGTGCTCCCATCAGCATAGTCTCTTACCTCATAGGAACACCAACCTCCTTAAAAATAGTGTCATGGTGGTGGGGAACTAGTTAGTTATTACTCATTAATGAAGGCCCCTAGATAAATTGTAGAAAACCTCCTTTGCTTGAAGAAAAATTGACATAAGTTGTCTTGACTCTTATCCAATGGGGTGAATTGCCTTTCCTTAGTTTCAGGTCTAAACCCTGACATTGTCTAGAAAAGAATTCCATCTTATATTGTGGAGACTTGTTGCGCATCAATATATTTGGAGCATGGGGCTAGATAAAACTATGGACTGAGTTGATATAACAGTCTTCATTCTTCATATCTATTCACTTAAAAAAGATTGGTACTTTTCATTTCAACCAAATGTTATATTTAAGCTGACTGGAGGAATCACCACACTGCAATGCTATTTCTCATAATCAGAGTCTGTCTTTTAAACTTAGTGGATCTCATGAAGACATTTACAAATATATTTCTTTGAATCCAACCTGGTATCAATCCATTACATGAAGTGCCAACAAAAATTTAATCTTATCTCCTAACAGTTAACTCAATACACAGATAAATTATGCTGACAAATAATTTCTTTGTTACTTTGTTTTAGAAAATCCCTCAGATAAATGATCTTGACAATAACATAAAGATTACTCTTCAGAGAGGAGAAGCATGGGAGAAGATATGAAACATTTCTCCCAAATGAACCATTCATTTTTCTTCATATAAACAAACATGGCAAGACTCCTAATTATTTAACAGAATATATCCTCAAAGTAATATGCATTTATAGTACAATTATCTGAATTATTAACTATTTCATTTATAGACAAACTATTGCATATGTTGTATTTTATTCACTAAAGAAGACCCATGGCATACTTTCAAATATAAAGTAAATGATATGGGAGGCCTGGGGGAGAGGAGACTCATTTTCTGACATACACATTTGAAAATAAAAAGTCCAAGAAACAAAAGATGCAAGCCTCTTTGTGTTTGTGGAACTAGTTTCACATTTAGAGTTGTTCTGTATTTATTATAAAGGTCATTCATGTTTATAGCTCAAGGTGGGTAACAATAATTTGATGCCAATACTGAGAGAGAGATATTTAAGACAACTTAATCCTATTTCATTGTAAATTCACCATATGATAGGCAAATGGCTGTGAATCTTTGTTCTAAAAATTTGCTTGGAAATAACTATAAAATGTATCATAGTTCAAGATCAGCCACAAGGCAGAAAGCAAGAGAAACAAGCAAAAAGGTATCCCCCCCCCCAAAAAAAACATCTTTTGAATGTCCTAGACCTATTATAGAGTGATGCCCAAGTATATTTCTCTTTGAAACATGATTTTAAGTCACATATGCTTTCATCCCCCATAGTTTCACAATCTAGGGTTTGTGATGCACAGTTATTTGGAAATTAAACCCCACTAAATTGAGAGACATGAAATTTTGAGTAAACAGTCGTGGTACCACAGCATATATGATGGAAATAGAATTAACTAAGGAAAGGCAATTAACCCCATTGGACAAGAGTTAAGACAGCTCCTGTCAAATAATATCAATAGAAAAATAAAAAAGTAAATAGGATATGCAGAGAGCCTGATTCATGTGTACAGCTTATAAAGCAACAATGGCAAAGTTTTCAAAATTTAATAGTTCTGTATGAGACAGAATGTGGCCAAGCCCTGTTTCACTCACTGTGACATGACAACATTAGTGTCTAAGACAATTTTCAAAGCACTACATAACAACAACAACAACAAGTGACACTTTCCAAAACATTGGCCATCATGTAAAAGTTTAGCTCCAGGCAATGACATTGTGGTCCCTTTTGCAATTGGCAGAGTGTCATTTCCAAACCTATTTTGGGTAGGATTCCTACAACCCACATAGATTTGGAATGCTCCTGAAGCTTGCTATTTTATACAGTGGACGAAGGAATTTTGCTCCTATCTTCTATAAATGAGAAGCTCACAATTTAAATCTCAGATCTGCTATGAACATTGCTAGAGTCCTTGAGTTGTTATTCTTTCAGCCAATTCTCCCCTCTCTTACTGTATTTGTAAATTGAAAATAACAGCTTGAGGCTTCTTTTACAGAGTTGTGGCTAGGATTTTTTATTTTATGCTAGGGAATATATACTCAGAATTTCCATCCTAAAATGCCTGTCATATTTATAATATGGGGAAAACTTGAATAAGATTAAAATAATCAACAATCAAATTGTTCAATAGCTGACAGAAAGGTAAAAGAATTTAATACAATCAACCCAACAGGCTTGAAAGTGATTGCTGGAACAAATGGGTCTTTAGAGACAATGAAAATTCATTAGAGTCTCAGATGGATCTCTAGTGACAGAGTTATATCATCTGGGCTGGATAGTCTCCATTTTCCTGCTGGTGAGAAAGGTGAGGCGCACATGACAGTCTTTTCAATTGATTTTAGGCAGACTCATATGGAAAGTGGTAGTCCTTTTGGTAAACTGGACCCAAGCAATTCAGAACATTTGGTTGGATATGGTGTGCATCTTTACCTGTTCAAATACATTCCTGGGGTGGCTATGAATGTGAAAGTAACCTGTGCTGAAGTTCTGACTAAGAAGGTTATTTTGCAGGGGATATTAGTGATATTTTAGCTTTAATGCTAAAACACCCCACTCCCATCTTCTTCACTTTTATATTAATCTAAGTGATCAGAGTTTCTATGGACCACTAAAAGAAACAAAATAATGTAGGTAGGCAATGCAACCAAACTACAGGTCCTGCCATTGTTACCTACAGCTATATATTGAATATATACTTTCTGTCGGCACACTACTGGTAGCTTCTGTGCTTTATCACATTATCCTGCTCAATATTTTTTTTCCTACTGTGGATTCACATAATGTCTCCCTTGATACCAAGGGAGTACAAGATTGTTATTGAAACAGCATTTTCAGGAACATTATTGAAAGCATACACGCTATTGGTATTATGCCTTCCCGGAATAATACCATCAGAGGGAAGAGTATATTTGGATTTTATTCTACCCCCAATCTCTCTGCTGAATATGGTATGATGGCTGCTCTGTTAATTATTGAATTATTGAATTATTGATTTTTAACTGTTACATTTGTTATATTTCAATCCTCTTAAGTTTAATTCAATTTTAAGGGGTGTGGGAGGCGGGTGGAGGTTGTAGGGAGACAGTATGTTTTAATTGTTGTATTTTAATCTGTTGTAAGCTGCCCTGATTGCTGTGCAGAGGGGTGGGTTATAAATAAAAAATTATTATTATTATTATTATTATTATATTATTTCCCTGTGCAGGATGTGGAAATGACTGTGAGAAGAAGAAAGAAGTTCTAATGCAAATATTAAATAAGAAAAAAATGTGTAAAAAAACAAGGGATTGTTTAGCAAGATCCCTCTAGTCTGGTGTTTTTTGTAAGGATATTTGGTATTTATTCATGTAGACAACAATAGGCTATGGCAACATGAGCTTAAGATAAAAACTGGAGTAATCATTTCAGATGTTCATAGTAAGGTAAACAGAAAACTTAGATATATTTCTCAAGATATCCAAGGACAGTTAATCTGTATTTGGTTACAATTTATTTATTTATTATTAAAATATTTATTCCTGCCCTACATCAAGGATCTCAGGATGACTTACAAGAGCCCATAAAGCTGGGACTCATGCTAGCAGCCATTAGTACTAGAGATGGAGTTGACAGGGCTGCCTCCTTCTTAGAGAAAGGGAAAAGCATGTTTTTTGAAGAACAAGAAGCAATCTCAACAAGTAAGAGGACAACAATAGAGGCCTGAAATAGAGAAGGAAAACCACCACGAACACGCCATGTGAATTTTATGCCTTCCACTGATTACCTGACATATATATCAAAATCTTTTTAACTTCCAACATTTTCACTAATGGAAGAAATCATTGTGGTGTTTTATTGTTGTAAGCCACCCCGATTGCATTTGAAGAGGGGCAGGATATAAATAAATTTTATTATAACTATAATTATAATTATTATTAAATCATGAAAAAGTAGCTCTTTCCACCATGTATTGCAATGCATCAGAATACTAAGGTTTTATTATTATTATTATTATTGTTAATAGATCAATAAAATTCATTTTTTTTTAAAAAAATGACATCTAATATCATGGTCATGATCATATATGCTGGACATAATTGTTATTTGTTAGATTTTGTTGTTGTGTTGTAGCACCGAATCCTTAGGGAAATTTTATTATTAGCTCAAATATGCGAGAGTAGGCTTGCTACAACAGCCCAATGAGACCGCTCTCCCGGTGTTTATACCAAGAGACCAGAGAATCCCAAGAAATGGAGCTGAGACAGATATTGGTTAACCACTAGATGTCTAATTTATTAAAATAGGGGAAAACTCACTCACAGAACATGCACTCACACACACACACAAGGCTCAGGAATATCAAGGTTGTTGTTTGGAACAGAAATGCAGGTGTTACTAATGGCGATACTTACCGAGAT